AAAAAAAAAACAGAATGTTCTGATGTTCGATATCTGAAGAAGATGTCGAGGACGGGATCGGGGGCGAGGAGAGAAGGAGGAGGGAAATCTGAAGCACAGTAGCGGACGCCATTTGTGTAACATCGAAGGATTTAAAAAACCGACTGAAAATTAGATAGTCTGTTAAAAAATTTCTAAGAAAATACCACTGGGTAAAGCAAATGCATTCAGATCAAAGGAAACCTAAAACTTGGCTTACTGTGCCTGGTTAAGCATCGCAAGAACGTAAAAAAGCAAAAGACTCGTAGCAAGCTTAACAATGAATAGCAACCGTGGCGCATAGAGGTTCTGAACCAACATACCGCTGCCGATAACCGAAGCCACAAGTCTGGGAACAGAATGACCAAGTTGACCACGACGACCATTTTGCATCGTCGATTGCAGTACCGCTGGCTGTAGGCCACTGCGGGCATAGTTCACTGGAGCTTGGGCATGAGAGATCACGTGTGATCAGTGCACTATTACCACAGGATAATGGCTGAAATTGTGCAAAAAAGTACCATTGCATTTAAAAACAGACAAAAGTGAATTAATTAAATTTTTTGTTCCCATCCTCCATCAAATACATCCTTGCCATGCCGCTGCCCAAAATGGGAATTGCGAAAGCTTGGGAACGGATTTTTTGTCTGACAAGCAGAGGTATGAGAAGTGATTCCCGAACGAAAAAGATAAGATTTCAGATCCAAAAAATCCAGCTTCCCTAAAATATGTCAGTATTTGGGCAGCCGAAGGCAATGACAATAGATGCAGATATACAACAGCGGACTCTGTTGCGTGCCTTATAACTCACCAAACATTCGCCATCTAGGCAGTATTTATTGCTGCCACACGGAGCACCATCCGGAAGTATGTCACCGAAGAAGCGATAATTGCGCTGTGACCCACGGCGACTTGTAACATCACAGAATACCTTAATTTTTTTGAGCATTAGAAAACTCTACAATGTGCTGACCTAGAAATGAAGCAACGTCTCATTAGAAACCTCGAAAAAGCTTGAGCATATATATATACCAGAATATATCACGAATTAAAATGAAATTATTAAGCCTTATCAAACAAGATTTAGCCAAATTTTTGAAAATGTAACCTTGCAAGCACGTTGTGGATATCGCGTAAGCTGACTACCAGTTCCAGTTAAATCCGGATCATTGTTCAACTTTTTTTGCTCCGTACATCGTTCACTTATATACTGTAAAAAACTCCAGACACATTTTTACCAGTTTTACTCGTTCAGCAACGCAGACTCTGTTACAGATAAACAACAAACAATGAACACATCATCGTGCAGCTGCTAAAACTCGGGAACCGCACAAAATGCACTCGCTTTTTGGGAAATAAGTTCATTTACGGGTTCGAGAAAGAGCTGCGAAAATTATAGCTGTAAACAAGCCTGGCTTTTTGGTTCAGTGAAACTTTAGAATTTAAAGATAAGTTTATCAGCTCTCATAATACCTGATTTCATGCTTCATATCATAAACTATAATTACTACCCACCTTCATTTCCTGCCTCCATGCAAAGATCTCAGCTTTTCTGCACCCGACATTCTACTCCCACTTCATTCCCCTCCCCCATTGTCGCGTAAAAGCGAGTTGAATTTGGGAAAGAGAGGAAAACATATTGTAGGCAAAAAAAATCAATCAAAATTACAACGGTGGGACGCTGGTTTTTTACATTATCCCACCACCATCCCTCCACTCACGGTGATTGGGCATAAAACACACATTCTTGGGTTCCCCCCCCCCCCCCCCCCCCCCCCCC